ATTTCAGCTGCTCATACCACCCCACACTCAGCTCCTACATCATCCAGCTCTTAAGGTGCATCTTCTTCCACTCTCCCTCGCAGCTAAAATCCTTGTCTAAGTTCTCATTATTTAACAGCTAAGTTGCTGCAACATCCTTTTCTCTGGCCCGGACACAAGCCCTAATCATACTGAATGCTGCTGCTGCTTCAAAGATCATTTTCCTAGCCTGTCCCTTTGAACGTGTCACCCCTCTCCTGGCATCCCTGTACCACCTCCCCCTCCCCTATCTCGCATCAACATAAGCTGCCTATCTTCATTCTCAAGGCCTCCTGGGACCCCACCTATCATCTCTCATTGTCAGGAGGCGCAAACAAGGAACAGAGCAGCTCCAGTGACTGCCCTGCCTGCTGAGCAGGCTTTCAGCTCTGCTGTGCTCTGTCCTTATGTACCTTTTTAGAGTGGGATATAGGTCAGCAGGACTGGTCAGGAGCAAACTAAGAGACCGCTGTTAAACACAGCCCGGAATGCTGGCAGCTGTAACATTTAAACACTGCTGGCACCTTGAAATGTACTCTCTCCTTTTGTCCAGTGTTGCCATCCTCCTGCATTCTCATCCTCATTTTCTCCTCTGTGGCCTCTCTTATACTGAGAGGTTACGCTGTGCAAACGCTCTTGGATTTGTTCTGGTAGCTCTCCAGAATGTCCTTAAAGCCCTCCTTTGCTGTGACGTCTACAAAAGCTTTGACAACCTTTATGCTGCTGGTAAGGTACTGCTGCTGTCAGCTGCACTGAGCGTTCTCATTTCCTTTATTCGCCATCTGTCTTTTTGTATTCGTCTGTGGTCTTCCGTCCTCTATTTAGTTTGTAATCGCTTTGGGACAGGGCCATCATTCTGTTCAGTGTTCACACAGTGCTTCAGACAATATTTGTGGTTAGGGTTCCTGCGTGGTCTAATAACACCGACAATAAATAAAAACAGTAACGGGCTGTGGCAGGTGCTCTCTTTTTGCATAGATCTCATTGATCTCAGGCTGTGGGCAGAGCACACCGCATGGATGTGGGCTGTATCTTGTGGGTATCCGAGCAAAGGGCAAAACAGAAGAGCAGCGCCGCGTGTTCCGCTCTAAACGCCGGCCAAAATGCCGTTAATCAAAGTCCCTTTCTGTGCGTTGGATTTTTGTTTTGTCAGGCAGCGTACAGCAGATCCTTTTAGCTTCATATTGTTTTCTTTGAGAAAAGGGCAGGGCAGGGGGAAGAAGGCTGAAGTTTATGGGCTTTTGTTTCTTCAAGAAAAATACAACAGGAGAGCTGTAAACAGCAGGAGGAATTTAAGGAAGCGAAGACATTAGAAGATCTTTAGACCTCTCCTTTTGCTCTTCATGCACGGTAGAAAACTACTTTAAAAACCTAATCTTCAGCTATTTTGGTAGCCAGTAGTAAACTGAGACACTGTCTTAGTTTCCTAACCTATAAATGGAGCTCTTTTAAAGAGGTCAGTTAAACTTCTTGCTTTAACTGACAGGTGCTTTAATTCTTTAACTCTTTTTAAAGTCCTTTGCAGACAGACAGAAATGTGTCATGAATTGTTTTTGTTATGGCTTGAATTCAGTTTTATTAGCAAAACGGGTTTAAATCTTCTTCCATTCTGCAATCTGCTCTGACCAACACGTAGCCGTGCTCAGTGCCTGCTGGGGAGAGGAGAGGGTACGACTTGGCTGCGTTGCAGAACGCTCCAAAGGGACTCTGTGTGGCTCTGAATTGCAGAGTTGTCCACAGAGAGCTCTCTTTAGACTGATATAGCTCATAAAGTGAGCAATCTTTGGGATCAGCTCAGAGTCCAAATTACAGAAAAGTGACTTCAAGTGCCTTAGTGATACCAGTACAACACTGCACCTCTGTGGTTCAGGGTACCAGCCAAGAATGGACAGAAAAGGATCACTGGGAGTAATAAAGCAGAGTGCAGTGTTACAAATTCTGCATCAAAGTACTGCATGAACAGGACAAGTATCAAGTGGGATATATAGTAGGATGCTCCAAAAGTAATGCCTTCTATTTATTTCCATGTAAACCGAAACAGATATAAAGGGCACAATAACACAGTTTGATAGAACAAATTCTCAGCTACAAAACACTAGTTTTCAATACAGTCACAACCATTAGCTGTGTATTTTTGCTGGTGATGTACACAAGGTGACCCACTGTTGCTGTCACCACAGCTGAAATGCACCACCCAACACCTCACTGTGCTCACATTCACTGTTTGGTCTCCAGAAACGTTCAGCAAGCATTAATAAATGTCAGTGGGTGCCATTTTTTCCTATAGGGAGGAGTTAAATTACAGTTCATGCACATATCCATATCAAACACCATTCTGTCAGAGTGCCCCTCAGCTGCCATCTATTTCACAGCAACAAAATGTAGCAGAATACTGGCAAGAAGGTTCAACCTCAACTTCATGGACCAGTGTCATAAAATAGGAGGGATTACTTTTGGAGCAGCCTTCATAGAAACAGTATAAAAACCACAGAAGGTTTTAGTGGCAATAACACCCTGCATTTTATTTAGTGCCTTGTAATCGGAGAGCTCCTGAAACACTTTCAGAGTAGTGATTAAGGAAATGGAGACATTCCACTGGGTTACAGAGGTAATTAATGATTAGAGATTATTAATGAAAGACAAAAAGAGCCCTGAAGGAAGACCACATCAGTGAGCATAACGGAAACCAGGATGAGGAATGGAATGGACAGGATGATGTAGTAGATATCTGTAACACAAGATACAGGAATGTAGTCAGAACATTTAGCCCTGATTTATATATGTGAGAAACACGCAGCTTCCTCAGAAGGAATTTGAATACTTTTTCCTGTCTATCAGCCTGACCTCATCTTTAAGCTAACCCTGTACCAGTAGATTGGATTCTTTTCTCTCCTGTCACTAATAGTCAGACCTGGGCAGGACCTGACAACTCAGTAGCAAGTTGGCATTCCTGTTGATGTCACAGGCTGTCCCACAGTAACATTCAATTCAGGAAATATGGAGCGATATTTGTTACGTGCTTTGGAAAGTTGGTTGGTTGTCTTTTTGGCAGCACTTAGTACATCAGTTCTAGAAGTGGAAGAAAACAGAAAGTGTGGCAGTTAAGAATGAGACTGAACAAGCACAAGGATCTTATAGCTAGATGGTAGACCAGGAGCCAAAGTGAAGGCATTTATTTATTGTCTCAATCAAATGGAAGCCTTAGCTTCTTCTTTTTCCTGTTATTAATCTTCTGACACAGAAAACATTTACACTCCCTGTGGAACTCCTCCAAGTCAATCCATTCCTGTAAGGAAACCCAACCTTTAGTACTTTGTAATAAATAAAACATTGGGAATAAAGATGTACAGCAACACATTATAACGAATATTACCAAAAAGAATGCACAGATCTGTTCAGTAATATCTCTGGAAAATTCTTCTACTGATGTATCTAAGCACTTAAGAATTAACAATTGAGCGTCTCACAATTACTAATGGATGTTAGGCTCTCATGACTCAAAAGGCAGAAAAGTATATTGCCCTTTTACAGATTTGGAACTGAATGGTCAGTAGCTTGCCCAGGGCCACACATACATCTTTTGGTGGGAGCAGGAGTTGGAGTCAGGATTTCTGTATCCCGTCCCGGTACTTGAAGCCAACATTTTATTCATTAAGAAACGTATATGGCATCATTTAAGAAAGGATGGTGATTTCCATAATGTTCTTTGGCATTTTTAATATCCCAGGTTTTTGTAGGCTTGACTGGGAAATAATGGAGAGTTGGGAATTAGCTGAGCCTTTAAAAGGAGCTGCTCTCTAGTCTGCTAGGTGTTTGCCATAACCTTAGGAGCTGCACACAGCCCTGTTACAACCTGTGTGTCTGCAGCCTACCCCACAATTAAAAGGTTCAGGAAAGGTTCAGGAACGTGCTTTGCAGTGCATTTAAAGGCAGCTTGCTGCATGAGCGTGGTTGGGAAAATCCTCAACAAGCAAAGTGATTAAAAAAAAACCAACAATCAAATGCAGAAAGCCTCCCTCTGGCCAAGCTCTACAATAGCAGACAGCTCATGGTCAGGTCTGCACCCATGTCTAAGTTCTCCAACCTATACATAAGGGAGCTCTTAAGCACTCTAGCCTTAAATGCATAAGCGATCCCATCGCCTGGGGGTGGGGAGCCGGGTGGAATATTCAAGTGCTTTGCTGGGTGCCCTACTGTAGGCAGTTGTATTTCTGAAATCCTGGCCCGCCGGTGTTCTGTACAGCATCCCAGATATTTGGGTCAGAACGCTCCCATGAGGGATGCTTTCTCTCAACTACTGGCAAACCAAGCGAAACAAACCAAAGGGAAAGGCCGCATGGCACCCTGCCCCCCACCAGCTTTTCTTACCCCCAAGGTTAGTTTGGGACCAGCTCTGTTCTGAATGGCTGTTGATACGAAGTCATGCTCTTTTCCTTTTCATGTCACTTGTTTAAAGAGGAATTTTGAAGCGGTTGCTTACCGCAGCAATGCTTGGGAAGAAAAAGAATAGCGAGTGTATTTTCAGAATGCCCTTAGCAGCTTTCTTTTTGTTTTGTTCCTCTCCAAGCCCCTGCTATTCAAGTTCTCCTCAGAGCACTAACAGCTAAATTGTTCTATGCACACAGCTCCCATTAGCAAGAGGAGTCATGCACATCATTCCCATGAACTACTTTAACAGTATTGCTCTATATGACAAGATGTGCCTCAACCAGAGAGGATGCTAGATAAATTTTAACTACACAATAGTCTCATTTTAGCCCATGTTTAAAATAGCATTGGGATTTTTAAAATGTACCCTCCCACTTTTTGGCATCAGTCATCTTTGTCTTTCTGGTTTAAGAAATTAGATATGCCAGAGCATAACAAATCTGCATTAGAAGCACGGGCTTTGCTGCTTTACAGCAGAGAAAAATGGGGGGGTGGCTGACGTTTGGATTTACCATGCCATAACAATCCACAGACCCTAATTTATCAGCAACGAGTTCACATCCTTTACTTTTTATTAATTGCATCGAAATTTCCGTCAATTATTCAAACTCTCAGTACTCATAACTCATTTCACATCTCTTGCTCTATACAATCTGAGGTCCGACTGTGCTTAGATTCATATACGGAAAGACAGCATGATTTCTTTACATGGCAGAGACTCCCTTGCAATCTCCCTGCCCCCTGGTAAAGGTTTAGTTTAATAAGAATTAAAGTATGTCTCTGACTAACTCTCACACAGGAAGCGTATCAATTTCATGGGTCAAATGAAGATCAGTCCAAGTGTAATAATAAATATATATGCTCTCATCACATGCATTGACACTGACTACACGGTATAAAGGAAACAGAAATAGTTATGTTGAGTAGGGTGGGAGGAGGTAAAAACAAGTTCTTCTCTAATGTCAGACAATTAGTTTCTGATTTATTTCTCAAAGCACATCAGTGGGTAAACCTTGCAATTTCATCTTAGCTAGAGTAGCTGAGGATGGCATTACAGAGAGCTCATAAAAATTTAAAACCATTTCCTAAGTCTAGGAGACTTTTTTCTTCTCTGTTATCAATGACAATGAATGCTGGTGTCTAGATGTGGATGCTGTAGTAAAAATAGACCCTCTTTTGGATTAGTTTTGTTTGATTGTGTTTTTTTTTAAATTATCATTATTAAATTATTGGACTGCTTGCTCTTCATGGCTAGAAAAAGTGCTTAGCAATTACATGGGTGAACACCATCAATACCAGTAACCAGAAAAACAAGCTAAAAATCCCAGTTTCATAGTAAAAAGGTACAAACTGTGTATCTTAACTAATTCCATGCTCAAAATGGCCATGCAGCTCTGCTCCAGTGCACGGATATAACTTTAAGAGCACAACAGCATTCAAGGTGGAGTGCCCCCCAGCAGCTGAAATTCTCCAGGCAGTCCTGAACATATACTCCGAATTTTGGGCAAGGCAAAAACACAGAAGTTCCCCAAATGGTTGCATATTACCACCATCCGTCATAACAGAGTCTTTGGGGTCAATGTCTTTTCTTCCCCACTTGATGTTATTTTCATATCCTTTTATCACCACCTGGGAGCCTGTGAGAAACTGCACAGCAACAAACCAGTGAGTTTATGCAGCAGAGAGCTGCGGTATGGACAGAAGAGGGATTCCAGGAGGCTTATTAAACCATCACAAAATGATTAAAAATTGGTGACCATCTTTTTTTAATTGGCTCCTGATTGAAGGGTTAATAGGAATTCTAATACCTGTGTTAAAAAAAAAAAAAAAAAGACATAAAGAAAACAGCGTAACATGAAATAATTCATATTGTCTCTGTGTAAATGAGGCAATAAATGCCTGAAACACGAAGCTCTGTCTGACTTCACAGCAGGGCCTGGTGCTTAATTGAAAGTCCTAACTAGACCCATTTATCAAAGAAATCACTCAGAGGGAAATTTAATTATCACAATTAATCTATATTTTTTTAGAAAGTCTCAGTAAAGCACATTGAAAATTTCTTTGGGAAGAACACTGTCTCTATTTCCACACCTCCAGCGTGAGCCTGGAGTGCTGCAGATGAGTGCTGCAATCGCCCCTGGAGGAGCAGATAGCAAAAAGAGCAAGTCTATGTGGGTAGCATGGCAGTGCCCTGCTGCGTGAGCATGAAAGGCCTGAAGAAGCATGCAGGTCTGTGCCATGCTAAAAACCCCTTTAAGTTTTTAGGACTCCTGGACTTTAGCGTGCAGCTAGTGAAGTCAGGACCTTCCTCCTCACCTTACAGAGTGTGGAGCTCCAGCACTCACCTTGGATGCAAGGTGCAAGGAACAGGCATTCCTGCAGTAGCTACAGTGGAGGGCAGAAGTGGGACAGGGAAAGTGAGGCCATGGATTTTCTTTTATTTAGTGTGAATTGCAGCCTCACTCCTGATCCTGCTCCCCAGGCTTAAGGGGAGTCTGTTATGCATGCCCAGGTAGCACCATCTTGGAATCATAGAATCACCAATGTTGGAAAAGACCTCCAAGATCATCCAGTGCAACCATCCACCTATCACCAATGCTTGTCCACTAAACCATGTCCCTCAGTACAACATCTGTGTGTTTCTTGGACGCCTCCAGGGACTGTGACTCCCTGGGCAGCCTGTTCTCCTGACCACTCTTTTAAAGGAAGAAGTTTTTCCTGATACCCAGTCTGAAATCCTTCCCTCCTCTTCTTAGGAGTCAGGGAGCATCAGAAATGATGACCCATGTTAACACTTCTGTGCATGCTCTTTTCCACTCTTCTTCAGTGGGAGAAGTTGTAGCTTGTTCTCCCAATATCACTGAAGTTCTTTTCTGCCTTTTCTTCTGTGCTTCCTACATTATTCAGGTTATACCAATCACCATATGGGAAGGAAACAACTCCAGAGCAGGCTGAATTACTGTTTAATTGGGCATCCTGTGAAATAAACATTGTGACTTGGATAAGATTAAAATGTGAGTCACAAGTCGGGTGAATTTTCAAGTGTTGGAGAATGCACTGAGGGAACCAGGCAGGGACAGCAAGGAGAGAGCAGCCAGGAGCAGTGCTGGACACGGCAGCTTGCTTTCCCAAGGCTCAGATGAAAGCTCCAGGGGGCAGAATTGGGCAAAACAAACAATAGTTCCTTTGTTAAGAAGAGTCACATCATCCACCAGATTTTCTTTAGCATTCATTTGCCTGTACTGTGCCCATCTGTGAACACTCTTTGGCATTACCCTGGTGTCCAGTCCAGCTTGGTTCTTAGATGTTGGCACTTGGGAGCGCTGTGAAGGACCCTGCCAGTAGGACCAACATCTTCTCTGCACTCTGCATTTACATTTGACACTTTGCAGTACTTCTGGGCAGCAGTTGTACTGGAAGAAACAAGTGACACACATAGATGTGAGAACTACATTGTAGAACTTCATTAAAATAGGAATGCTAAAAGTATAACTGACCATCCCCACCAGCCTCACTTGATTTATCTGCATAAACCTGGTGCTGCATTTAGGGACTAAGCTCCTCATTCAGCCACTAAAGCACCCCCCCCCACCCCCTCAAAAAGCTTACCTAGGTTCAGATGTCCTTGGATTGCTTTCTGCTTTGCCTCCCTCCCTGGCATAGCAGGAGGTGGCTGGGGTGGAAGGCTGTGGTGGAGGGAGGGTCCCCCTGTTCTGCACTGCACCTGAGCTGGGGGAGGTCACAGCTGGCAGCCATCTCCCAGCAGTGGCTGCACACCAGCCTATGACATTTCCCTGTGCTCTCTGCTCCTCAGTGTATTTATTGTGCCTCAGAAATTGCAAAGGTTGTTGGCTTGCCATTTACCACCAGGTGGCCTAACTATTCCACTGTTCACGAGGAACCAAGCCTCCATTAGAGAACAGCAGCTGGAACTTTTTAAGCTTTGCATATTTTTCTTACCAAGCCTCCACCTTCTCCCCTTCCTCCACATTCAGATGATTAAAAGCGAGCAGGGCTGCTCTTGTTTCTCAACCCAAACCTTTTCTCAAAGGAATTGAGAAGAATGGTGCCTCCAGCCCTAGCCATAGAACCCGAGCTTAACCACCTCAACCTACCGCTTAGTCTGAAAGTACTCTTACCATAACTACACAAATAACTGGCACTTTTCCCTCAGTAGCCGGACGTGAATTCATTTCTTTGTTGCCTCAGGTATGTTTCTGGTAGCTGGTTTTGTGACCTCCCAGTTCTGCACCAACCATGTATGCAGGGTTTAGGGCTGTCCACGAAGCAGCACAGAATGGATTCTGTGGGCCAGAGTATTAAACTTGGTAAGAGGGAGCTGATTTTTAAAACTACAGACAGCTAGGAATGTGAGCTGTGCCCCCACTTTGTAGATCCAGGGCAGCCATTTGGGACCTGGCTGAGCTAACAGCTCCTCAGGCGAAAGGGGAGTCCGCATTACAGCTCTCTCAGCTCTCTCTGTATAGTCACAGACTGACCTCACATCTTTGGCTGATAGGAGCTGAATTTAATGATCTAAAAGGGGGAAGGAAGATACGTTCAGATGTTTGTCTCGGATTTCTTGGTGAGAGGGGTGGGGAAAGCTCTATCTGGTGTCTCAGCATTGTGAAGTGAGAGTGAACTGCATAGACGCCAATGGTGTTACACACAAATTCCGGTGGTCAGAGGTCATCAGACGTCTTCTTAGGAAAATGGTTTCAGGAGCAGATGAGTTATTTCAAGTTCTGTAACACTAAGAGCTTAGTTTTGTATTTTCTACCATCTCTGTAATGTCTGAAAGGTTCAGAAGATACCTTCAGAACAAATCTCAGCGACTGAAACGATGAACTGAGCTGGTTTATTTGGAATAAAACATCTATGATTCATTTGTTTACTCATCTCCGTAATGATGCATTTCTGTTTTGATGTGAGTGGGGACAGCGTACAATGATGGCAAGCACAGACATCATGTCAGAGCCCAGCAGTAGAAGCAACTTTCCCAAACGAGGTCAAATGAGTTCTTAAACCGGTGCCTGACAATCCAATCCCAAATCAATGGCCATAGTCTCTGAATGTATCATAATACATTTGCAGCACAAGAGATAACTCCATCGGGGAGATTTTCCTAAAGGGATGTGGTGATTGAACTTTCAGAAATACCAGTCATTTGGAGAAAATTTCAAGAGTGTTAAAATTACTTTGGTAAATGGATTTGTTACAAGTAACTAATACGTAGAAATTGGTAGAGGCTTCCAGTTGCATCACAAAAATGTTGTGAAGTAACACTGGCTGTTTCAGCTGCTTTAACCTAGCCTTGGGCACTCAAGAGCCCAATTCTGATCATTTGCAGGATAAGCAATCAAATTCAGGGTAACGAGACCTCAGCCAAGGCGTTACTCTGGATTTACACCTCTGCAGATAGAATCAGATGCTATCTGCTAGTCTATGCATCCTCTGAGAATAAAATTAATTTTGAATTCTCGTATCATCTGCTTGCTTGTGCACTTATTTGCTAACTGTCTGATGGAGTGAGCTATTCTAGGTCAGTATGATTTAGGCATCCTTTATTACACAGTTTCCAATTCAGTACATTTTTTAATCAAGTCTAAATTGAAGTCAGGTTCCAGGTACATATAAATATAATATATATTTAGTGCATACATTGAAAATCCCCGAGTCTAATTTTGAATGTAACTATAGTAGCATGAAAAAAAAAAAAAAAAGAAGGTTCTTTATTTTACAGAAGCGTTAAAATATTGCCACTTCTTAAAGGCAAGCTAAGACCTATTTTCATATTTTCAAAATCACATTAGCTAAAAGCTTGTTAAGGAATAAATAGTCCAGAGGATAATTGAGACTTAGCTGGCTTAAGCATTAATGAATCAAAATCAGATGCCAGATCATTAATTAATTCTACAAATTATAATGTTGCTGTTACTGGCAAATACTGTAAGAACTAATACCAAGGAGCAAATTAAACTGCATAGTTTTCCTTCCCGCTGAGTATCTTTTGCCCAAAATAAAAACATTGTGGTTATTTTTGGTCCATTACACATAGTGTCTTTATTTTTAAAACTTGTGGAAGATTCTTAATTTTTAAAAACATTTCCATTTGTTTATCATGCTATTTCTAGAATACACCTATCAGAGACTATAAGGACATTTCCATCAGTGCTGTAACCCACGGAAAGGGAAATGTAGCAAAAGTGACAGAAAAGTCAATTCAACACTTCCTAAGCCTCACAAAAATTCACACCCCTTCAAATCAGTCTCTTTGGCAAAAGGCAGAATAATAGATGGGTCTTGCAATGTGGCCTGAAGTGCAACCATCTCAGACTCTGTCAGAGCAATGTGGAAAATGGATTAGAGGGGAAGCAGGAGAGGCAAAAGGGAAGGTCTGTCGAGCATTTCTAGCCATCTTTTCTGATCCTACAACAAGGAGACTTTAACATAGTTAGAAAGTGACAAACTTTAGAAACTCTTTTACAGAATGAGGGATCCATGTGGGCAGCTGGCTTTAATGTGTTACCACTGAGGCCAGAGCCTTATGAGTAGTAAAAGGCTTAACGGTTGCAAAGAGGTATAGCTTGAGATGAAATAATGAGGTGATCCAACTGTACTCTAGTCAGGATAAAACCTTAGGGGCAAAATGACAGGTTTTGGGCCCTTTCCTGAAAGCTCCCAGTATGTGAACTCTGTCTCATGTGCTGGAACTTTCCTTGTTTTCCCCTCATACGCCAGACTCCAGAGTTTTCAGAACTAGAACAAGCAGGTTCTTCTCAAGCACATCCCAGAAAGTTTAAACACACCTGAACACCAATCATAAACCAGTGCAGTGGGGCATTAACATAATAGTTTACTCACCTAAGCATCACCAACTAATTTGCTCGGTGCAATCTCTTCTAGCTGAGACTGAGTTGTCCTGAAGGATCCAACAAAGCATGTCACATATGGCAGCCATGAGAGCATTGTGCCTGGAAAAGTGAGCTGTGGAAGCTCATTTACTCCAAACATTCCATTTTTTTCCATATTTAATGCACATTCATTCCATTTTCTTCCTGGTTTTAATTGGAAAAAAAAAAAAGGTCCAAGTGGACCTGTTTTTGTAGGAATAATAGTAAGACATTCTGAAACAAAAATGTTCTTGCAATTTCCCAAAACCAAACGCAGCTCATTTTCCAGTTGGAATCAGAGACTTGTGAATCTTGTTAACCTGAGCTACATTTCAGCTGAAGAACAAGTAAGGTGCCACCGTACTTTCATTTTGTCTGTATTAAATTTCATCCCTCACTATCTGCCCACCGTCAATGGCAGACACATCTTCGTTGCCAAAAGAAGCATATAATGTAGATCAGAGACTGCTAGCACCATGCTGATATTCTTTTATGATGGCTTCATATATATGCTGAATAGAGGAATTCTTGGTAATTTGTCATCCTTTGGGATCTCTGAGCTACCGAAAGGTGCTGACCTTTGCCATGCAATAAAAATGAAACTGGCAATAGGCAACCCTGTAGATAATAATGCATTCTAATATATCTACATTATCTACCCCCATGCTGAATTCATGGCTCTTTTCCATGTCTGGAGATGACAGATAATACCAAAGCTGTTTTATTACAACTTTTGGCTTCCTGCCAAAATTAGAGCATCTAAAAATAGATCTGTAATTAGGATCTGCCTCTGAAGTCACTGTCTGGAACATGAGTCCAGAAGCTGCTGACAGCAGCCAACAGTGGGTACCCAGACAGAGCAACAGAACGAGCGCGTAAGGATGGTCCCCCCACGGACTTTCCCAACCTGCAACAATTTGGAGCTCACCAACTTCCTGAGAGAACAGCCCTTAAAGAAACTTTCTTTTATGAATTTGTCCATTTTTTTGTTAAGTCTATATCAAGCCAAAAATATCACCAATATGGGTCACTTCCATTTTTCATCTCTGATCACGCTCTTTCCCACTGGATTGGTGGGAAGGTGACATATTTATTTTTTATGACTCAGAGGTGGAAAGGACTCTCTTTACAGGGCTGGATGGCCAAGTTTGCGGTGAAATAGCTGCTATAATTCTGCTTGGGTTTCCTGTTATCACTAATGATTTGCTAGGGCACTTGAAGCCTGCAATGCAATCCCTTAAAAAGATTTTAAATATATAAATGCATTCAAAAAACTGTCCATTCGCTAGCATGGCTTACATTCCTGTTTTCTGACACTACAGCCCTAATTCTTCTGACATTCTGAAATCCATCCCTGTGGGCAATTAATAATGCCACCATCATCAAGAAGAACGACAGGCCCCAATCGGGAACTTGCACAGCAGTGCCATGAAAGTGGGGAGTGTTCAGCTGCTATAGAAACCTCATCTGCATGAGACTGTCTTGCTCTTTTGCTTTTGTTTCTATCTTTTGCCATCCATGGAAATTAATTCATTCTATCAATTAATAGAAACTTTGTGCCAAACGACCTCTGCTGGGTAAGGAAGGACAGCTGTAAACAACTTTTTTGTTTTCAATGGGAGTCCAGTGATGGCTGTGGCAGTTGGGGGATAAGGAGGGAAAACAATCTTTCCTCCTTTCAAGTCAGATTTCTGTTGGCAAATAGTTTACACTGACTGGCAAATGGTACCAAAATGGATGCATATTTTTGTCTATTTCTTGCTATCTTACTAGCTTTCAGATGCTTTATTGAAATCATGTGTGTTGAGGTGATTTCTGTCTGTGATTTTATAGAATACGTAAACGCACATTGATGCTTGTCTACAATGATCTTATCACATAGTGCTGCATAATCAACAGACACCTAAAGATCGGATGCTCTGGAAGAAACATAATAGATGAGGCACGATTTTAAACAAGAATAATTATGCCAATATAATGCCTCATACAGACTTACTTATTTCCATGTAAATGTGTGGTTTTTGTCTTGAGTTGTGTAACCTTGGATGGTATTATCCTGGAATGAAAACAACTGTATGTCAATTAAATTAAGTTCCTATAACAAAGTTATCTGTAGCAGTACGAAAGGCAAAACTTTCTCAGTAGCCAAGCTGGCACTTGGCTCTGAGGCTGTATCTCCCATCTTTCATGGAGATGCTGCAGTCTGCCATGCCGATGAATTTGCCACAGCCTTGACACTTCATATGCTTCTCGTTTTATACCCGAATGCCCCTAATCTGTTCCCACCAGACCATGTATATATTACAAGTTCACTGGCACACACCTTCATTGGGCTGGGGAGCACTCCTCACTCTCCACTGTCATTTATCCTGAGGGATGACAGGAAAAGAAAGTGAAAGGCGGTACAATATACTCAAAGAGCTTTATTAGATGAACAGTTTGTGGAATATTGTAAATCACAGCAGAAGCATGATGCTTTGCTCACCTGATTTTATGAAGGCTTCCTAGAAAGCGTGACATGACGGGGAGATCTCAGCATCCAGAAGTTAATGGGAAGCATTTTGGTGTTGCAACAAGGGCAAGATTTCTGTCTGTCGGTCATCCTGTTCCAATCCTTCCTCCTCTCCTGCTCTCAAACAGGAGACTAAGAACTGTACCGCTGCTATTTCAGCTGTCGTTTCAAAGGAAGAAGATTGACTTAATTCCCTATCACCAGGTCAGTTAATTGGTTGCTGGTCATAAAGGATAACAGTTTTTATCATTCAATTTAGACATAGGCTAGAATAAAATAGTTTGAATTGTCTTAGAACGTGACCTGCCTCCTGGACGAAGAAGCATAAAGGCTTCTTTTAATGGGAAGTCATGGCTTGAGTCACAACTGGAGAAATCCTACCACCTAAAATCACTGAAATAGAACTTCTCTGTGTAGCCAAATGCAAAACCTGTTCTGTCTGTTGTAAGAATTGTGAGCAATGTTAAGTGCATTTTACCCACGTCAGTTTTTGGAACAGAGGTTAAGCTCCTAGTTAGAGATTGTTAAAACAGGGCGGGGGAAAACTCAGAAATAGATACTGCTAATTAGTTGTGGCTAAGAGCAAAAGCTGTCTTTAGGATCTACCATTTCTTCACGATGCCACAGAACTTTATAGCTTCAGCAGGCACTGTAACCATCATATACCAAAAATGCATCTTTATTAAGGGGCATTCAGGTATAATAAAATGTTTTGGCATCTTTATTAAACATTTCCTGGGGAAATATCAGACCTGGTTACAGAAATTAAGTAGGTGGTGAGTCTTCCCATGCTGGCACAGGATACCTACCTCGTCAGCAGTTGGCTATTTGATCTTATGAATACACCCAAGCCTCCTAAATTTCATCACCTGACATTCTGGAAGGCAAAGCAGTTTTGTAGCACCAATCTGCTGGTCACCTGACTGTGGGGGTATGCATGTACTGACTAATGGACCCAAAAGAGGCAAAGTGGTGGAACAGAAAGCCGTGGAAGGGAATGCTTGTTTGCTTTCAGAAGTTTTCAGAAACTGCAATTATTGGCAGAGGCTCAGAAAATGCATGACCAGCCAAGAGATGCAATGATTCTGCAGATTCAGCACTTTTCCAAAGTATCTTCTTTTCAGAAGTTTTTCTGCAGCAACTTCAACAGATTCATTTTCTAACAGTTGGTGGAGCTGATGGGATGAAGCCTATCTAGCTTTTCCCTTGTTGATGGCCAGCATTTTTCACAGTGAAGACATTATAGTGGCATCAGCATAATGTTTTTTTGTGTTTGGTTGGTTGGTCTTTATAACCTATCCAACCTTTTCAGGTTAGGAAAAATTTCTTCTCCAAAAAAGTGGTCAGGTGCTGGAACAGGTTGCCTGGGGAGGTGGTGAAGTTACAGTCCCTGGAGGTGCTCAGGAAACATGTACATGTGGTATTTAGGGACATGGTTTAATGGGGGAATAGTGGTGGCAGGTGGGCAGTTGTACTGGATGATCTTGGAGGTCTCTTCCAACCTTAATGATTCTGTGATTCTACTGAATCAGCAAAACTAACCTCATCCAGCTCCAGTATAAGACACACTTATTCCAGTACACAACATCTTCTGAGGATTAACATATGTTGTCTGGAAATAGGTTTAGTTTTATGGATAAGAGCCATTGGGGGGCATGAACTTCCCTCCAGGTGCTGTGCCTGTGTTAGATACCGCAGCCATCTACAGACCACTGTCTGGCATGGATTAGATTCTAGACTGAAGAAGCCTGGCTCCATCTTTCTGTTCCTTCCCCATCCAAGCTGTTACCATACGAGCAGCAGCCTGAGCTTCTCCATCTTGTTACCTGATGAAGCCCTTGGGAAAGTGGTGCATTTGGACATGCACTGTTAGACCTGGATTACTCAGCTCCCTCTGTAAGTTGCAGGTGTGTGTCTGCACCTTCAGTGTGTCGAAGCAACTCAAATAGCTCTGCTGTTCAGCCCAGCTGAACTGATCCACCTTTTCTCATCCGGTCCTTTAACCAGCCTCTCTTTCATCTGCATTTAGTATTTTGAATTTTTATCCAGTCTGCTTTCATTTATTGTTAAAAATGCATCTCTGGTATCAGGCACATCATTTTTAAGCCTCCATCGTGCCAAGAGAGTTAGCAAAACATCAGTTTTTCACTTCAGTTCCCAACCCATATGTTTTCAAGTAGCACCAGGGAAACATTTTTTAAAGGACAGACTCCAGAGATGTCTTCTAATATCATCAGCAATGATAATCAAAAGCTGCTTCTGTAGAAGCCTGCGGGATTATCAGTCTCTCAAAAGGAAATTCAGCAGCTTTTCTTGCAGTAACATTTATTCTCCACTCTTCCACCTCTAGCTATCATTCACCTCGAGGTGGTGACACTTGGGACAACTCCATTTCCATATGTGCTACCTATTTACATGTCAGGAGGGATCCCTAATCTGGGGCCGCAGCCCCTCCTGACTTTTCGAGGGAAATGTAACTCAAATGCTAATAGCAGCTCATCATAGTTGATAAGATTATTCAAGTTATACCTCATTTGCAGTTGCAAGACACACCTCAGAGGAAGTTGGTTTTTTTCTTCTCAAATTCAGACATAATTTCAGCTATTCATGACATCCGTGCTAGGTCTGAGACTCCTCCACAAAGAAATACATTCCATTTTTCAAGCTATTTTGTCTAACTCTGCTCAGGCCCAGAACTAATGCAGCATGTTGGCGGTGTGCTGGATGTTTAGGAATATCCACCTAGCAGTCCTCCTTCCTGCACATCTTCCTTCTGGTGACCTCTTTGTTACGGAGGGTAACATCAGCAGAGCACAGAGAGGCAGGGGTGACAGGGAAGTGGATCTTCTGAAAAAAATTCATCCAAACGTTTACCAGAATTGCTTTATCACCAGCAATCTCATGTTTGCCATTCTTCCATTCCTCACACATCTTCAGACTTTCCAGCCCCACTGGGAGCAGCTTAATATCACCTGGGCTGGGGGGAAAATGGAGCTGCAGAGCCCAGCAGTGCCTCACTGGTGCCTGCCACAGGATGCTGGGTCCTTGCCTTGTGCCTGCCTCTTCTGGGATGAGCTCCTGAGCAAAACTTACTGGCCATGGGAAATCCTGTAAGGATGAGAATATGACAAAAAGAGCCCTTGTAAGGCCTGCTGGCTTCCCTTCCTTTCCTCGAGTGGCTGGAAGACCAGCCTGCAGTTGCCTTTAGCACCCTGAAGAGAGCATGGGCAATGCCTGGGGCTGGTGCTGGTTAAGGCAGGAGAGCAGGATCTGATCGCAGCCCTGGACTGGGCACACATGTGGAACTGGAACAGGAGAAATTGAAATGGAAATGAAGCGCCCTGGCAATAAATTTCCCAGCAGCCTAATTTTCCCAGCGATGACACCCTGGGCAGAGCCTGTGTGGCCCAGAAAGGAGCGGGTTTTAAATTTTCTAAAACTCCCTAATCCGCTTTATCAGCCGCCTCTCCCAAAACTGCCGCTGCTCCCTGAGAGATTTAAAGCTGCTGTGGCTCCTCCAAGGCCTTTTCCTGATTATGATGTTTATTCTCATCCAGTCAAGACAGAGCAACATTAGCATGTGATTTACCGTGCATGGTCAATTGCAGATACCAGCACTCAACATCTGAAATTCAAGCAGCAGCTTCTCGCAGTAAACTGGTCAGGATCAATCCGGAGATAAGAAGGACGGCCCTACCTCTTTAGAAGGCAGTGGGGGTTCATATTCGAGGTCTGTCAGTCTTATCCTGCTGAGCACAATGCTCTGCATCGCTCCTAGGAATCAGTGCGGGCAATGACAGCCGCATGGTATTAATACGTGCCCCGGTGCTGGCTTTAATTCCATTCTTTTGTTTAGATTTTTTTTTTTTTTTGCTTGCAACCATCCGCTTTTCCTCTCAGGTTTCAAGTCTTTGTATATATCTGTCAAGCAGGCGGTGCATTCAGGACAGGTTTTCATGCCACGGCATTCTTTTACCTAATGAAAACAAGTGAATAAAACATAAGAGAAGTTCCTTTAAATTAAAAACAGAGAAACAAAACTGAAGAAAGCCAATACCTGAAGGAGAACATGTATTTTCCCAGAAAAAATGCCTGCTGAATGGATGAATCTTTATATATTTCTTCTAATTTAAGAATACGCTTATGATTGTACCCTAATTAAATAAGGAGAAAGGACCATGCATGGCAGCAGAGAAATACATGCATGCATGAAGAGTCAAAAAAATCCAGGTAAACTTCTGATAGCAAGACACATCCACGTAGTGTAGCGACTTTCCAAAACTGAAATTTTCTCCCAAGGGCCCCCAGTTTGTATTATTAATGCCATTTTTCTTAGCCTGCATTTTCATTTCCATTTGAGTGGGGAAGAAAACAAAGGCAAAAACTCCAGGAAGTTGGAAAGGACTGTGCCGTCTCTCAGCCATGAGCATCAGATGCTTTCAAGCAGACTCCAAAGGTCAGCATGAGCAGTGCTCCTGGTGCAGCCCCATGCCACAGGACTCGGGGCTGAGATGCAGCTAAGCTGGGGCCTCTGGTCCCATTTTGCAGCAGCTGGGGGGATTTAAGCCCTGGTGAGGCTGCCTGCTAGGAGCTGATGTATGGCAAAGACTTGTGGGGAGCGGGGCTGTGATGATCACTGCAGTTGGTCCTTCTGCAGGTTGTGCAGATCTTCTGATGCCATATTCTAAATGTTTGTCACCAACTGGCTGTCCCTCTTCTCTGTTTAACATGAACATCCGGTAATTGGAGTGTTGAAATGCTCGCTGCCATCCCCAAGGAGGAGGATACACAGGAGGATCCAGAAGAAATCCATCTTTGCTGTAATGCATGTGTGCAGCTCAGGCCAGATAGGGCTGTTCAGATGTTTTATTCCTCCTTTTCATCTCCTTTGTGCAGGCTCAAGTGATACCAGAACACAGAGACTTCCTTTCAGGGCTTCAAAGATGTGCCAGGTGCACTATGCAGGCAGGCTTTTTTTGATGCTTCGCCGAAATTTCCTCCATATCATGTTGTATGGAAGCCTGGGGGCTGCTTTGGTTGGCTCTGAGAGGGACACAAAGAACCCATAAGCAGGCGGTTGCTATGATGCTGCTAACTTGTTCTTCAAGCAATTTTCATGGCACTGGACAGTAATTGCCACTGACTGTAAGTCATATGGCCTCTGGCATTTCCCTGCTGTTTGAAGATCTGTTGATGAGATCTGTGGTACCCAAAGGCCCTGGGCTTTTTTGCCCCCAAGCTGCTGCTAGTGATGGTTGGGATCCCTAAAGGTGCAACAGAGAACAGAAAAAGCTATCTATGCTAGCTGTCAGAAGAGAGAGAGCCAGGTCTGCCCATCACAGCTTCATCAACTCAGGTATCATCTAATATTGATGTTCCCCCAGCACTCCTCAGTTTCTGGGTGCATGCCCACCTGCCCTGTTCATTTGCCTTGCCAGTTGTCCCAGTGAATGGAAAGCAGAGCTTTGTCACCTTCCTGCCTTTCCCATAATCTAAAAAGGTACCTGTAGGTATGGCTGTCCACAAGGCAGGCTTCCTGCTCCTCCCGTGGAGAATGCCATCTACTCACTGATGAGCGGCGGGAGATTTTAATGCTGTTTTGTTTCCTTCCCTAGAAAGATCTGAAAGTGAATACATCACACATCTGTCCCACTGCTAAAGCTATCGATCAAACGCGTAAAGACTGGATGCTTGCAGAGATCTGGAGGGCTCTGCATCTGTTTTCTAGGATCACACTTCCTTTCTTCTCAAATGCGAGATTTGCAATTCTTATCTGGGAACCCGTTTTAGTATTTAGTATTATTGGAGTTAAGATTAACACTTGGAATAACAGTTAGTATTGACCTCTTCTCTGTAGTTGTTCTGATCGGGCCTTTAAAAATTGGTTAACATCCTCTCATCACTGGCTATATGGGATTTCCTGCATCTATTTATATAAATCTGACTTTTATGTACAGAGAGAAAGCTCCGGAATAGATCACAGTTGGGGTGATATTCTGGACCTACCTGAAAAAAATACAGGAGTCATTTGTAGTCAGAAATGCAAGTTAAGATCAGAATATATATATATATTTAATACTAAAAAATAACTAAATAAGATTTCCTGCAGACCTGAACAGACCATTCCCAAATGCGCATTTCAGTAGAGAACAGGCAGAGTGGATGGCCTAGGCAGCTGGGAGTATTTTACATCTTCTGTTCATCTACTCACTTTTTTGCAACATTGCCCAGAAAATCTTAGAATTCATGTGCTGGAATCCAATAGTAGCTTAGGAAAGAATACCAGATAAAAAAAAGTACTTCCCTGGAAAGCAAGATTTAAAAAATAGATCCCATAAAAGTGATTCTCTGTAGATGTTGCAGAACATATTAAACTAGCGGTGTCTAGGTTAAAAATATACCATTGATAGAAACCCTTCCTTGCAACTTTGACCAGGACTAGTTGTCCATTTGTATTTACCTGATGCTGGTAGTCAGTGTGAAGCATGACCCCAGCCTGCCTGAAATTCTAATAACAGCCTGGAAGATCAGCTGACAAAATAACAAAAGGCAGGAGAACAGCGTGAGGCCTTCTCATATTTCCCTTGCACCTCGCTGTAAGTCCCCACTCTTCCTGCTTTGCATCCAGGCTGCCTGCAGGAATGGGTCATAGGTAAGCAATGCTGGGTCAGACCATATTATGTGTCATTACACCTCAGTGCCAGCAGGCAGGACCTGCTGGGTGAATGGTGAGCCTCCAGCAAACACGCTGCTAACTCCAAAGTATTTCAGTCCATTTTTGGGAGCCAAGCAATACTGATTTCTGATTGTGCTTACCTCTTAGAGAGGATCATGCAATTCTCGGTGGCAGCTTTCCATTTCAATGGCCACTGAAAGAAATCTATTTGGGGAATTGCCTTTCCTTATTTGTGCAAAAATCCTTTTATGCCATTAAGATGCTTTGCAAAAGGAAACAAGATCCAAGGGCTTGTCGAGGCACGGTCTGCACTACCCAGTAGAGTTAGTCTCATTAAAATGGACCTCGTCTCCTCACTGCTCCTGCACATCCTGTCACTCTATCACAGATCATCTGACATCTCTAAAATGGAAAGCATGATGTAAAGCAGGAAAAGGAGCTTGAGATTAAAAACAAAAAACAAAAAACAAAAAACAAAACTACAAAGACTTTAGAGAAATGGCTTTCAGGGAAGTATGCCTGTATACAAACAAGTCAAGGCTGTGCCATGCCTTTGTCCCCATAGTGGGGAACAAGGGGCACTTTGGGCCACGTGCAGCTTTTCGCCCTCACCCAGGCTTTTCTGAGCACAGGGGCAACTCGAGCAGTGCCTGCATGTGTAGCCCCCAGAAGAAAGCTCTTTCTGTAAAAGCCTGCAAAGTCCTATTCACATATTGGGCTTTTATTTTGTGCCTGTAAAAGCATCAAAACTGTATATGGACGCCAGCTGGTGTCATAACACAATTCCACTGATAAGCAAGGCCACCTTAAGCCCTGCTGAAACTTAAATGCCAGGCTGTTACTGTGGCATGTTTACTCTCACTTTTAGCTGCATTGTGCTGTTTGGCTTCCTAAATCTCAGCAGGGAAAGGACAGCTTAGCTCCCTTGAAGGCTGAGCGGCACTGAAATGATGGCTGTTGCTGTGGGGGAAGGGGTTGCGCTCAGTGCAACATGATTTGTAGGACCCTCTATAAATCATTTACCAGCATGCCTTCACGGCAAGCCACAGGCTTGCAATTTGCGGTGCTTTAAGGAATGGAAGCAATAACAACACGGAAAGGACAGGATAAAAAAACAAAAACAAAAACAACCAACGAATGAAGAGACAAACACCTCGAAAACCCTCGCCTACCAAAGCGACAGCCTTGATTTAAGTCGGAAAGACGATCTCTGACAGCATTTTAATGGGCAAGTGCCTCCTGTGCGGCCACACAGATCGCCGCGTGGGGAGGGAGCTTGGCCAGCTGCAGGGAGCGCCGCAACTGCCATCCCAGCGTCTCCCACTTGAAGCCCATTATAAATCACCCTGCGTGCTCATGAAGCAAGGGTTTGAGTCTGCAAACCTGATTGGAAGGACAGGGGTTGGAAAGGGGAGGGCAACACCGTGCGCTGCTGCCACCAATGTGCGGTCGCGGACAACACCGCAGCAGCCGCTGGGGACCTGGGCGTTAATTCCTACTGCTGGAGCTGCCTCCTGGCACCATTCCTATGCCAAATGGAAGTGCTGACAGGGGTTTCTAAGTGATAATTAATGTCAGTCAGCATTATTGTGAATAGAAGCCCTGTCTCAAAAAATACTTCTCTGTCTGAGGATGGATCTGGTGCGATGGCTCACCTCCTCCCACTGCCAGGTGCAGCGCTTGGTGCCCTGCAGCACGGTGATTAAGAAATGAGCACTCTGCAACATCAGTAAATATTGCATTAGATGGATGAAGAACTGATTTCATGAGATATTTCTGACTGGGACTCAAACAGAGATATTTCTAGGACTGAGTGGGACAGCGAAGGCATTTTCCATCTGGGACTACCTTGAAATAACTTCACTAATGTGCTGATAGGGCAGGTCAAAAAGGGCTGTCACAGGGACGGGGTTGGGAGTACCAACCATGCTAAATGAGTCAAGGGCTTCCTTTTCTCCCATTTCATTGCCTAATGGAACATTCATGGATGGGGAAAATAAGCTTGCCCCAAAACACTGCCTCTAAATATCAACAGGTGTAAAGGCTGAGGGAAGCAGGACAAGCCGTGCACTAACTGCACAGGGACAAGCATCTGAACTGAGGTTGCCAGGGGGGAGCCATGCTAAAGAGGTGAAATAATCCCTGTATACAAGGAAGGGGATGCAGGTAGATTCAAGCACAGGCTTTTTAGGCTGCCTGCAGTCTAGATGAGGCCAGTTCCTGACAATGCGCTCAGCTCCAGGTTCATCTTTTTTAATAAGGGTGTAACAAAATTGGTGACTGCACAGAAAAAAGCTGCAGCAAGTGCCACGAAAATGATTTAAGAGCTGAAGAAAGTGCTTTAGAGTGAGAAACATAAAGAGCACAATCTGTTTAGCTTATCAAAAAGACGACCGAGAGGTGGCTTGATTACAATGTACCATTACCTTCACAGAAAGGAAACAGAGGGAACTGTGAAGCTCTTTAATGTGGTAGATAACAAAAACCATTAGCTGGGAGCTCGAGACAGACAAATCCGAGGTGGTAGGAATACATTTTTAAGAAGATGGGGGAAAAGCTGCAAAAAAACTATAGATGGAAGTAATGAATCCTCTGCCTCTGGATCACAGAAGTCACATTTTGTCAAACACGTCATTGCCCTCGTTTTCATGAAAGCCATCCTTTAGCACTCCTAATAGCTGAGCGGACATGTGGCAGTGAAGGGCAGGGAAAAACAGATGGGCCCAGAAGTTCTTCCCCAGAATATTTTGAAATACTCAGTAATTACAGCAGATTTTCAATAATTTAAGAGAGTAGTTTGTACAAAATCTCTGATCCATACTCTTGAAAGTAAACTTCTACTAGACATGAACGTCTTCCTTTCTGCTCCTTGGAGAAAAGTTGGCAGAAACGCACTGGTGTTTATCAGACTTTGCCAGAGCTGCAGCTGTTGATGGCAGGCACCAAGAGGTGCAGATGCCCGAGGAAGGCACTCATGGGCAGCAGGCAGTAACAGCAGGCGTCCAGCCAAGAGCAGCTGAGCTACAAGCACGGTGACAGCTACTTTAATCACCACCTGCACAGACCTTAGCACAGGAGAGGGACAGTTTTCCTTTGTATTCATACCAACATTGATACTAGAAGCTGGGCGTCCGTGTTCAGTTCCACGATGTCCAGGAACAGAAAATGATCCTGCCTGTGGAATATGGGTTTCTCTTCTCAAGAGTGGATGCTGATGGTTCAGTAGGAAGTCAACTGCGTAAGCACTGAAACAATACCTGGAGATTGTTTGTAGGAATCAACATTCAGTGGATTAATAAGAGCTGGCTTCCATTACAATGCTTACCTACACTAATGATGCTAGAGGCTGAAGATATTGGCTAACTTGCCATAGCTGTTCTTGATCTCTGTTTCCCAGAGGAGTAAAGAAAGCAATAAAAGCTGATTCTGGAGTGGAACTGCAGTGTGCCTGTGGTGGCAATGTGCAGGAAACAAGTGAAATGGAATTGAGAGCTGCTCACAACTCCACCACAGCAACTTCTGTAGGCAAGCTCAGGTTTTGCACCATTTTCAGAGCAATTACGGAATTTATTCCAAAGGTTCAGCAGGGGTGGGAAAAGCAGGGGAAAGTCAAACTGCAACATAAACAGCCAGGGAAGAGACTGAGAGTGATGCTGGAACAGCAAATGTGCACAGGGATGCCCTGCCTGGGGTCTGTGGCAAGGATGAGCATTGGAGACTGAGGCGCTTAGCCTTGCTGCTCAGATTCCTGCAACCAGCTTGAGCTGCTGACATCACTACGGATTGGCTGTGCCCATGCTAATTTAAATTGATTTCTCACTGCAGCATGCAGCCCTCCTCCCCCGGCAAGAGGAGGCACCGTAGCAGGAGTTACCTTTATAAGCAGGGAAAGTGCCTCAAATCTGCAAGCAACATCATTTGCTCAGCTATCAGCATTCCCCATCAATAATGAAACTAAAAACACAGCTTAATAGGCAGCAACGCTACAGCAGCTGGTGGAGGTGCACAAATCCGGCGTTCTTGCTGCTGAGTTTATTGGACATTTTATAGTCCTGGGAACTAAAGATAATGGATCCCATTCCCATATGCTGCATCAACACGAGCTGGGACTCCGTCATGCCATTGATCTATGAGGCAGCAGTGAATAAGACCCAGACACAAATACTAAAATGAATCAATCCTAAGCTGTTAAAGAGACACCACGAAGCACTTTCCAGTTTGCTGTTCTTGCTTTCTAATCTCCATCTTGTGAAACACTCTCCCAAGGGCTCTGAAATACAACAGTTTGCAGTAGACTTTGGGATCGGGTTAAGAAGAATTGCCCCTGTGGACTGGAGAACAGAGCTGAAATTTAGAGCCCATTGCCCTTAGCAGCACTTGTGAGCTCCTCCCACCCCTTGTGCAGCTGAAGCCTTTTTGGGGTTCTCCTGTTTTAACAAGTGCTGTATGATTATGCTTACACAGGTTCCCAATGCAACATCCTCTCCAGGGTTCACAAAGTTATTCTCCTCAATTGAGTGGAATTTATTTCCAAGAGCAGAAAACTGTAAATAGCTACAGGCCAGAGAATAACTTCTACAGGCTGTTGTCTAAACTTGACCAATAGTGAGTATTTCTCAGGTGCTCACACTCACTACTTTAGAAACTATGACCTCTTCTGGTTTGAGTAGATGAAGGTACTGTGGTTGCTGCAGTCTCAAATCAATTTATATTGAATCTACACCCGGTGTGCTCTTTAGCCATTTAAAATACATCATACTGTATACTAACAAATCATTTTAAAGCAAGCACGCAAGGGAAAAAAAATCCTTAAAAATAGCAGCCACTATGCTGGCAACTATAAACATAAAGCAAAGACAAGAGAAAAATGCCATGAAATAAAATCAAAGCAAGCAGAGGCTGCCTAGCTGCATCCACAAAATGGAAGTTTCACCAGGACATTATGGGAAATAGTTGGGAGTCACTCCTCAAATTATGAAAAGCAAAGACAATCATCTCACTTATCCTGATTATGGATTCCAGATGGATCTGATGACAGCCTCAGGCGCTTTCATGGCTCTGCATAACCAAAATGTCTGCAAAATCTCATCTAGTGGTATTTAGTATTTAACCTTGCTGTGCCCTTATGGCAACAAATACATTGCTTGTTTACAATGGCCCCACAGTAAAGCGAGTGCTTTTTGGTAGTATCAGCTACATAACTCAAAAAGCTGGAGGGAGAACTAAAAAAGAGACAAATTCATTCATTACTGATGAAAAATGACCACTGCTGGATTGCTTTCTCCTGTATCTGAGCGGAAGGGCAGACACTGAGTACAGCACCGCTTTGCACCTTGGCTTGTTCTAGTCCTTGGGAAAGCAGCACACAGCAGCTGCTCAAGAGCACACCAAAGTTTTCAACCTGAAGTAGAAGCAATGTCATCATTCCGAGAAGTGTTAAGGGTGCTCATGGTGCTACATGGATTTGAGAGATGAGCTGTATGAGATGAGGCTGTATGGAAGCCAGACCTAGCCTGCAGGAGCAAAGCAGAGAAAGTCCACCCACCCGCAGAGATTCTCTAGGCGCAGGGAAGACCTCGAGCTGTGCGTGATCCATTACTCACATGGCTAATATTTTATCAGGGCTTGTAAAAAATAATGCAGTCCAGTTTTCAATGCTAAGGAAAGACAAAGAGGAAACAAGTCCTTCAGGATGCTCCTTGGGGGGGTACTTATGTGCTTGAACTGTCAACAAAGAAGAATACAAACAAGAACAAATGTAGGTGCAAGGGGAATCAACCAAAAGTTATTTGTGGTAAAACTCCATTGCTCCTCTAAATAAGGCATCTGAAGACTCCAGTATAAGATAGTGATTGAGTGACAGCATTCAAGAGAAGTTAGCAGACTTCTAACTGAAGTTTCTAATAGGGTCCAGACTGAGATGGACATACTCTGCATGTCAGAAAATAAAAAGCTTCACTTAGCTCAGATGTGAAGTCTACTCTGGATCCTACAACCAAACATATGTCACAGATTCAAGAGGGCTGCAGGGAGCTCTCCTCCTGCAGGGCTTTCCCTTGCCCCACGAAAGCCCCACCATCCCCTTCACATGGGTAAGTTCACACCAGAACACACTCACTGAGCTGTGCGAGCCATTAATTCAACCCAGGGCATAATTGAACCGCGTCTCCTTTAACAGCCACCAGCAGGAAAATAAATAAGACATCCCAATGGAGGAGGAGAAAGTAATTTCACGTTTACGCTTCCAAGGGAAAAGGGAATTTGAAGCAAACAAAACATTTCTTTTTCCCCGCAGAAACTCTGCTGCCCGTCAAAGTGGGATCGGAATGACACTGAGAGCTCTGTGCAAAATTCTTCTGTTTGCTTCTGCATTTGATTAGCTGCTTGTGTCGGGTGTTTTAATTTCCTGCGGTTGGAGCGCGTTGCTGTCATGGTGATAGATGCTCGAGAAAGGAGAAAAATAAATAAATAAAAGTTCAGAGCACTTTTGACCACGTCGGCACTAATTAGCGTGTAAGGCAAACAGACAAACGTTTTCTGGGATTTGTGTCAGCTGTATCCAGATTCCTCCTCTGCCTCTGAGCTACAGCAAAACCCTTTCTAGAAACTGAAATAAAGTAAGGCGGCAGATGGTGCTGGAAATACTCTGAGAGCGATGCTTCCGTTCGGAGCCAGATATCAGCAACAAACCACCCAGCCTGCACACACTGTGAAGTGGCAGATATTTACCAGGGTTGCAGGGAAGGAGTGAGGAAGGTGATATTGCTGGTGGTGGGCTCAGTGGGAACCACTGAGAGTGTGCATGGTGAGAGGCTCCACGTGCAAAGGGGAAAGCTGATCTAGCAGGACTGAGTGGGATGGAGGGGAAAAGAAGGGACTTGTCAGCTGCACGGGTTGAGGCAGAGCCTGGGAGGGTGGAGACAGGTCTTGTTACCATGGCCGAGAGCAGCAGGACAAAGGGCGCAGTACCACTCATCTCTGTTGGACTGCTCTAAGAAATCAAAATAGAAACAATGGAAATTAGCACAGGATTTCAACCAAAGCATCCCAATGGTAAAACAAAGACTGACTCTACTTCAAAAATGAAGAAAGGACTCCTCTGATTGACAGCAGGAAGGAAATAAATAAAAATAGCTCTTTTCCAAACCCAGAGAGTTATTATTTATTGCAGAGCTTCTACCAGGAGCCATCATCTTCCCCTCCTGGCTGGCTTTCCTGCAGAGTCAAAGACACAACACATATCCTCCAGCCATGTAATATTGCTGCTCTTGTGCTGTCTGTGCACTTCTGATCAAACTTTCTTTGATCAGAAAATTAATCTTAACTGGAAATAGGAAACTAAAGGGATATTTACTGGATACAAACAATAGGAAATTATCAGATGATTAGTAATCTTTTTCCAGGGCACTATAGTTTCTCAAACACAAATCTGACTAAGGCTGTAAGTGTAAATTCTAATCTCAGTAATGACATCTCCTGTCATACTGCACTCTCACCTGCACAAGCACTGCAATGCACATTGCTCCACATACAGTCTCCCTTCAATTTACACAACTCTAGAGGGTTGCCAGTAGCCTACCACAGCTTTGTGGACTGTTGACTTTGACCTTTTACCAGCAGAACTGTCCACTACAATAACTGAACCTGACTTGCTGAGAAAGCGAATCACAACAAAATGAGGAATTTTAATCAGCCATTGCTTTTGTTACAGTGTGCATGGAGTTGCTGAGCGGTCGGTGTCGGCTGGGTGTTTTCCTCTGATTGATGCCATCTGTACCTATGGATGTGTGCTTCAGGACCAAGGTGAGCAGGTCGTGGTCTGGAGAGGGCCAGCACACCAGTATGTAGCTGTGTAGTCAGGAGAGAAGGGTGATATTAGATCCTGGGGCTTGTCTGAACAATAGCAAGAGGGGGATCTTATAATTCTCAGTCATCAAAGGATGGGCTTTTCTGGGGACCCACTGCCTCATCACCAGTGGATGCGTCCTCTCCTCCTCGCCATGGGCAGTCCAGCGGCAAGGGAGGGCTGGGGCAGCTGTCAAAGCATGAGAAATTACTGAGCGAAGTGAAAAGTGATAGCCACAGACTACAGAAAGTTGTTGCCAAGTGGGGGAACACGACAAGTTGAGGCCAGCACAGCCTGCCGTCATTTCATGCACAGACAGCCCTGCCTGCAGCAAACGCACCAGGCAAACCAGCAATGCTCAGAGCACCAGCAAGAGCAAATTGGACAGCTGTGGGGAAAAATACATTTCACTCTGGCTGCATCACTATGGAAATAGTCTAACCTGCCGACAGGACTGCCTGCAAGTGTCTATCTAACACAGCAGGCTGAAGCGAAAGGTGCCAATTTGCTGTGGCACGATGCATGCGTGCAGCAACTTCTGGCAAAGATGTATGTGAGAGGCTGAGTCCATCTTTGCATCCAAAGCGAAGTACAGAAAGAAATAGTTTGGCTCTGAATAAGCAGTTCAGATTGCCTATGTGCATACCTTTCCCACACACGGAAGGGTTTGCAACAGGGACTGGAGGTGCCAACTGGAGGAGACTCCAGAGATGCCATGGCCCTGCCAGTATGCATTTCCTCCTCTTCTCAGATGCAGAATATTTGGTAGAGTTTTCTTCAAGGCCACAGCTATCGTTGGACCTGTAAATGATTGCAGTGGCACCAGCTCCTGTCCTTGGCTGTGCTTCTTTGTCAGGAGAGGCAGCGATAGCAATCATCCCAGTGCTTAGCAAACCTGCAGATCACTATTGCCAATCTTTGTATAAACAAGGACTAATTAATCTTCACCACCTCTCTCTGAAGAAGGTAAGCGGTATCATTTATTATCTTCCCTGTTTTACAAAGACGAACTGAGATGGCAAAATAAAAAAATGGTTTGTCGAGGGCCACGAGAGATAAATGCACTGGGGGCAGCAAAGATGGGTTTGCTCAATGGTACAAAAGGCAAGAGGGTAATGCTGCCAGACTTCACCTTAATGCAGATAATGAAAACTAGCCAGCTTCGTAAATGGCCGCGTACTCTATGAAGTGGAGGCTTTCTACTCTGAAAACAAGTAGAACAGAAGCCAGAATATTTTACTAATTTTATTACGTAAGAAAAAAAGAAAAAAGATGAGGGGCCAGAATTTCTAAATGGCGCAGCAGCTGCACACATTTGGTTCCAGTTTTTAAAAGCAGCACAGTTCTCATTTAGGCTTCAAAGTAGCCGCCCTGTCAAAAAGCCCACTGACATATTGAACCTCTTGACATTTTGATTTTTAATTTACCCTGAAATATTGCAAAGGGATCGGTTAAGTACTGAACTTCATTTTTCTTTCAGTCTGCTGCAGTCAAATAGAGCAGAGCTGTATCTTTAAAATCTTGCCCCATTTTGTGTGTAGTAGGGACACGGAAAATTGGCTTTCTGTGAGTGCAAAGGCAAGAAAGGATATAGAAAGCTTGCTGAAAAGGAACTGAAAATTGCCTGCTTTGCTGTAGCTTTGTCTCAGTGAGATGCTCCTTGTCTGCTGCAGAAATAGCAGTCGCTTCCTACTTTGTTATTGCACGTACAAAAATTACGCTGGCCATTTTCAGAAGCTAGTTATGAGTGAGGATTATTTTCATATCTGGTCAAATGATGAATAATGATTTCATATTCCTGTACCATATTCTTGCAAAGCGCTTTAAACTGATTTTAGTACATAAGCCTGATATTTTCCAAACCTCTAAGTGAACAAGAAGCAGCTGAAATTGCCCAAAAAAAAAGCACATGGGTGGCAGGTCATTTCCTAGCTGTAAAAGGCTAGATGGAAAAAGGCAAGACAGCAGTAAAAGCAAGGGGAAAATTTCCTGGGAAGGAGCCTGTGAGCTATCCAAAGGGAAATCCCTTACAGCCTCCAAGCAGGGAAATAACTGCATTCAGCTGTCCTTCAGCAATTCAGCTCACCTTTTTTCTTTCTTTCTTTCTAAGGCAAGAACCCAGGAGGAGTACAATGGCTTGAATTTAGTCCCTCTTTTTATTATTTGATAAATGCTTTTTCCATATTTTTTCTCTAAATCCTAGACACTAGTTGCTAGTTTTCTCCAATTAAACAGCTTGGTTAAAGAGCAATATCCAAAGGTCACCTCTCTTCTGGGTGGGCAGAGCAAACTGCTTGGAGACAGATTTAGGCATTAGTGATGCAGGAATGAAGGCAGCAGTGAAAGGGAGGCCCTCCTCCTCCTCTTGGGTCTATGTTGGTCATAGAGAAAGGGAACAAGCAAACCAGAGAAAATGGTGTCACACCAGGAACATCACTCTCCATGGGAAGGAGCTAATTCAGTGGTTCCTGAGAACATCCATTGGGCTGCAGGGAAGACGACTTGGGAAGGTCATAATATTGAAGGAGAAGAGGACAGAAAGGATAGGTGGTTTTCCTGTAGACTTGGGCATCTCTTCGGCTGCATCTACACAGATCTATCAGAGACCTGTGCCCCAGCAATGGTGACTGACCCAATGTCAGGCAATTTGATGGATGAAGGTCAAAAAGGAAAAACATACACATACCAGCAAGATGGAGCACAGCACACTCTGGTGCATAGAAATCTGGGGACAGAGAGCTTACATGCATCGAGGGACAAGAGCAGAACCAGGAGGGCTCAGAACAGATGAGTGCTGCCTTGTGCTGCCCATAAAGCCAAATGGAGCCAGGGACAGCTCACCGTGCAACAATATCCAAGAAAGGATCATAAGTGAACCAGAGGTGTGCTGTTGTTTCTGGAGTCATTAAGCACGTTAAATGAAAGGGAGCTTGCCCTGTAAGTGAAAGGCTGCTCATTGCCAGACTGAGAGACAGAGGAGAGTGCATGAGGAAGCAGTTTGTCCGGGGAAGGTCCGTCATCAGACAGAAGAGAACACCAGCACAGGATGGGCAACAAAACTGCACAGCTGGAGAAACATGGGGCAGGTCCTGGCTTCCTTGCCGTTCCTTTAAAGAGGAGCCAGATTTGCAAGCAGACCATCTTACTGAAGTTTTAGGACAGATTTGTATTGATTTGAAGTTACAGCATTGCTGAACTAAGTGAACCTGCAATAAACTAATTTTATGCCAAGTTAAGCCTCTGCCAAAAAAAAACAATCTTGCAGTTGTTAAGATGAATTGACGTTTAAACAAAGTAAACTTAATTGATAAAATCTGAGTGAGAAGATGAAGCTACCCACATCATAGCCCTGCAAGAGCATTTGAAAAAGTTACTCGTATAATTCTTGCTGCACAGAAAAAAAACAAACCACCCTGGATTTGAGTCTATAGAGCAGTGTCAAACAGAAAGGATTTTATGAACAGCTTTTTTTAAAAAGAAAAAAAAACCAACCTGATGGCAGTTTAAAGGCCTAGTTCTAATTCTGATTTTCTCTTGTAGTATAATTCACTATTCAGAAAGGGTAAGGTAGCAGATAGCGTCTAAAGCCAAGACAAAACAAGATGGCATGTAAAATAACCGTAATTAAACAATCAAATGTAGCAATTAAACATGAATGATTCTTTATTAGGCTGAATGAGGATGCCAAACAAGACTCCACAGGTGGTGAGTTTATACTCCCATGCTTATTGGTGCTTTCATTAGCAGCTCTTGGCACGGGCAGCCGTGCAAATCTCTCTGTGCCTTTAAGAGCCAGCCTGCATTTAGGCACTGTTCAAACCAAGGAGGATATGCAAATATCTAGAAGGACAGGATTAAAGTATAACGTGGTGTTTGGGAGATAAATTAAAGAAGCGCAGTGAGATTCAACACAGTCAAGCAGTGCATTCTGCAGGGTGGAGAATAATGAAATGTGCTGCTGCAGCACATCAGCAGAAAATGCTGGGAGTCGTGCTGCTCCTCTGTGCGACGTGGAGGTCACTGTGAAACCCACCAAAGCAGCAGAAGCCTGGTGAGCTGGGTGAGACGGGCTCTGCGGGGTGACAGAGCCACAGCCATGACTCTGGATCGTGCAAACTCTCCTTACAGATGCTGATTCAAAGCCGACTTCCCCACCAATGACCTGCTTTGCCCAGTCTGGTGCCCAGCATGGACAGTGTTCCACCTGCAGGTACACCACCACCAGCTGCTCCTGGAACCACTTTTGTGGGGCAGTGGGTCCCTAGAGCTCTTCCCTGCTTGCACTACTCTCCTCCTTGCTTGAGCAGCCAGGCAAGGTGTCCCAGAAATAAAATGGTTAATAGCAGAGCTGTGGGAAAACCAGGCGACATAATTATGCTAATGCTGCTGCTCTCCTTCAGCAGCAGAGGCAATGGTGCACTGTGTTCAGTATGGGGCAGCACATTTTTAAAAGGATTAATTGGGAAGAAGAGCTCATGGGAAAGCAACGAAGGTGATAAAGGTTTGGAAAACAGGGCCTGTGAGGGAAAGACAAAGAGAGCTGGGCATGTTCAGTCTGGAGAAGAGAGGGCTGAAGGGACACATAACTGTCTACGAGTATGTTAGGGGACATTATAAAGAGGATTGGGACCAATTCTCATTAGTCAGAGAGGACAGAACAGGAACTAATGGCTTTAACTGTGGTAGGCAAAAAATAGGTTAAATATGAGGGAAAACTTAACTCAAAGGTAGGCTGTGTAATGGAGCAAGAAACCTGGAGAGTGGAAGTGTCAAAGGAGCTTGGCCAGTAGCCACTGGCTCAGTGATGCCAAGAGAGGCCAAGCACCGGGAGCCAAAGGCAATGAGGAAGTTGCCTGAGCAGCCCACCAGCAGCCAGGTTGGAGGTCACTGCCAATGCACTGAGCATCAGCTCTCTGCAAAATGTTCGTGAGCACAACAAGGTGCCACAGAGAGAGCAGGCTGCACAGAAGGGCTGAAAACTTTAGTGAGAACACCTGAAAAAATAAAGCAGAGCATTTGCTACAGAGCTGGTACCTTGACTTCATAGAAACGGAGTCATGGAACAGCTTGAACTGGAAGGCACCTTAAAGAACATCCAGATCAAATCCCCTATTGCAGTTGTCCAGGGCCCCATCCAACCTGGCCTTTAACACTTTCAGGGATGGGTCATCTGCAGCTTCTCTGGGCACTCGTGTCAAGGCCTCACAGCAAAAAATTTCTTCCTTACAGCTAATCTAAACCTGTCTATTTTAGTTGAAATGTTACCTCTGCCAGCAGAGATCCTTAAGGTCCCTGCAAACAGCTGTAGCTTAATTAACACTATCAAACGTATCTGCTAGTGCATTTTCTGTTTCATTTGCCAGAGGAAAGGTGGAATGACTTTGCTTTTAGGCTGATTCAGAGGCTGATTTTGCATTCACCTGCTAAAAGCCTTTAACCTTAACTCAAACACACATGTTCTATGGCAGTAGATGCAGCCCATTAGAAAGTGTGTTTCTGGCAAGGCCCTAGGGAGATGGAGTGAAAGGCAAAGAGCTCAGCCCTGTCAGCAACAGCCAGGCAAGGGTCTAAATCCAGTGCCATTATTAGCTCACATAATCCAGCATCGGGACTCAACCCTACATCAGCAGAATGGTTTTAAACCCATGAAATACAGTAATGATAAAATTCAACTTTTTTTCCTCCTCGGCCTTTTTATTTATTTCTGAAGCTCTGTGGATAACCGATGCCATGATTTGGAGAGGTTACATCTCCTTCTGAAGAAGAAAGACGTTCATTTACTTCAGAAGCACGTCATTTAACAGACTCCCTTGCCTCCAGGACCAGAGCTTTGAGGAAGACAAGAGAGCCAGGACAAGCACTGATCAGGCCACAGCAGCGCAGAGGACACGTTCATTCTTCCCCCATCCCACCATATTCATCCACTGGGGTGAGAGACCCAAATCTTTATTTACAAAGCTGGCTTTTGTCATATCCTGCCCAGCATCTAGATCAGAGCTCTCTCATTCACCAGTGCTGATGTTTCCACGGAAGATGGATTAATCTTTTTTTTTTTTTTTTTTTTTTTTCTCTCTTCCCACTGATCTGGGGCTTTAGGGAGAGTTGCAGATAGCAAACAGGAGGGGATTTAAGCCTTTCTCTTCACCTTTAAAAAAAAGCCCGGCACAGCATTGCTCTCCTAGGAATAGGCCCACATTATTACTGCAGCCACAGCCACATCATCAGAGCTACAGTGCTCGGAGTTGTAGATCATCAGCCTGCTGTCACAGCCATGATGTATGATGGAAAAAGCCATCCATCTGAAAGTATGCAGCACAAAGGGCTGGGGCTGGAGCCATGCAGCATGGCAGGGCCAGTGTACAGAGCACCGAACACTTTCCAACCCAAACAAGGCACAGATTTGTGCCTGATGAACTGAGGTTCATTAGGAGGAAAAGGGAACAACTTTAAAGCCTCTCACTTGCAGGTGTCCAAAATAGCAAAATGCAAACACGCTCACGGATTAAGAAACAAATCCAGCTACTGCTTCCTCCACACACACACCTCTTTCCCTTAAAGCTTACATTTGATTTTCTTTTCCAGTGTAAAACCTCAATCATATTTACACCAGCTTTAGGATCTTTACAGACAAAGACATTTAAGGCTGTGAAATCTTGGGCGAAAGTAAAATGATATGGTGGATCAATCAGCTGATGCTTCTTCCCTGCACAGCAGGGGACTCCAGCAAACCTCTTGCATTTTGTGCAGAGACTCAGCTCCAACTGAATTTTTCTTTTGGCACTATAAGAGCAAAAAGATATTTAATGGAAAAAAAAAAAAAAAAAAAAAAAAGGAGAGAGCAAGGGAGAAGGAACAATCATGTGCCTTTATGCATGGCTCCAGGTTCCTCAACTAAAATGAACTGTTGCTCTTCCAAGAGAGAAACCATTTCACATCCATTATTCTCTTGCACAACACTCCAAGTGTGGGTGCAGAAATAGTTTCCACCTAAAAAACCCTCAAATTAGAAGAACACATGGCATGCATGGATCACAGAGGCACAGCCCAGGGTGCCGCTTACCCACACATGGTTGTCCCAAATTTTTTAACATCTGTCACCATGACACAAGCAAAAAAAAACACTTTATGAAAGCAGATGTTCAGAAAGTTCTGGTTTTTTCCTCTCCATGTGAGAAATGCCTCATTTAAAAAAACAGAAATGGTGATACCTGTAGAAGTCTGTAGAGGTAAGGAGCAGGTGATGCAGGAGCAGGCACTTCAGCAGCCCTGCCTTTTGTGCAGCAGCAGAGGGATGAGTAGTTTGATTTCAAATAGCCACAAAGTAATTTTCAAAACACCTACCTCACTGTAACATAGCACACTTGAAATACCACATTCCTGTTCATTAATGGTAATTTATGGCACATACACCCTGCTGTTACTGAGAATGTCAGTCCGAAAGCCTTTGACAAACACATCCCCTGCTTGTGGGGATGAAAGAAAACCAGCATCCGAGGTGACGTCCGATCTAACACCATTCTTCAGAGACCTGCTGATAAATCTGTCATGGGTGCCATGGAAAAGAAAGAGAACACCAATAACAAAAAAGTCAGCAAACTTTGTATTGGAGGGATCTTAGAACAGTCACGAGTATACGACAGTGTGCGGCTGCGGCTCAGGAGAGCTTTTCAGTTATCCTGCTTGAAATTCTGCCCTGTTTGGTGTTTTTGTTTTGTTTTGTTTTTTTAAGGTACTTTATTCTGGGCCAACTCCTGAGAAGAAAACTGGGAGGAAAGAGCTCAAGGAAAGACTTTTTTTGCCTAAACAGCCAGGCCAGCAGTTTATAGAGCCAACAGAGGCACAGTTGCATTCTGCATGAGTTGACCAACCATGGGTTGAACTGTCCCGCTTAATTCAGAAACTGAGCTTTGGCTAACTGTTAGCCTTAAATAGACCTATGTGTAGTTAAAAGTCACAGGTAAGTCTTACTAAATTATCTGGGAGGTGAAGATCCTGTTTACAAAGCACCTTCAGCAAATTGATTTACGTTGCCTAAATGGTGCCCACCTCCACTCTGTTTGACTTTTGTGATTGTAAGGCTGGAGCAACTATAATTAAAGAGCATTTTTGGAGTGAGCACAGCACTATGCAGTGTAATGTGACATTCAGAATATATCAGTGTCACTTCGCACGGGAGTTCTGATTACTTTTACATGTGCGCCTCAGCCCTGTCATTCATCCCTAGCGAAGCTCATCTGCCTCAAACCACAGTGTCTCACCTATGTCATGTGGTTTCACCCCCTCTATAAACCTCTGCCATTTCCATTTTAATCATGTGTTTCATTCTTAAGGTAAATAATTCTATTTGCATGTTAATGATTCTACTAGCCTATTGCCTAATACAAACAGTCCTAAAATAGGGCAGCTCACCAATGTGGAAGTGAGACCTAAGTATCCAGTAAGTATCGCCCATTCACACAGCAAGACGTGTCTGAAATGGGAAGAGAGATCTGTATCTTTTTCCACGAGATTCCAGCCGGAGCTGAGACTGCTCTTTGATTCAGCAATAATGAGTGAACATTGCACCAACGACATTTACATTTTTCAGTGGTAAGGAAAACACAAGACTGTTCTTCTGGGTTCAGATTCTGGCCCCCAAATGCACGCTGATTTCCTGAACTTTGAACCGCCTCCTGATGTGAACGAACAGCCTGGCAATTAGCAAAAGGCGACATCAGATGTGAAAGGTAAACATGGCACAGGCACTGCTTCCTGGAGGCTCTGTCTCAGACACACATTAACCCAACTTCCTCCTCTCTTTCCCCTGCTGTAGGTGAAATCAAATTTTCATCAGTTTCTGCGTATCTGCTTCACTGGGAAACTTTCTGAAAATATATCAGAAGGGCTGTTGGAGGTCCTCTGCCGTGCTGCCACGTGCCGTGTCCAACTATTATCCAGGCTCCCTGCTGACTGCTGCTGGAGCAGGCTGAACTTTCACATCAGGGAGGTGGCAAGATGCAGTTTGGTGTATGCCTCAGATGCTGGGCAGGAAGAAGCTACGCTTTTCCTCTCATGTGGACCCCTGAAGCCCTCAACAAAGGCAGGAACTGGGGGCATTGACAACCCCAACAAGGCTGGAGCTCACCTGCAGGCTCTGGTTTCCTTTCCTGCTGGCTAGCAACAAAAGGGTGACTGTCACATGGGCACTGGCTTGGATTAGGGCTGTAAAAATGCATCCATATGTGTATGGATGTAATGTATGGATGTAAATCCATATGTGTATGGATGTACAGCATCAGTATGCATTCCAATACACCAGGTTAAAGCTGAAGCAAGGAAATAACAAGATCTGGCTCTTTTCATTGACCAGTGTTGTAGCATGGACAGTACTGCTGTTCCTTACGGAATTCTTCCAGTTGTAGCAGAAGTGCTAAGTCACAGATTGAACCAGTGATTGAGCACCTGAGGGGAAGGCAGGACCAACCCAGGGGAACTCAGATACTCGCAATCTACCTGAGTGACTGGAAGGGGTGGAGCCAGGATCCACCCCTTCCCAGACCTCACATAAGGGCTGGCAGCAGAGGTGAGGGTATCTCTTGTTGGAGACTCTTGTGTACCTGAGGTCTTCTAAGGTAGGTAGTTGGTTTTTGTTTTGTCTGTTTGGTTTTTTTTTCCCCCCCTTCCTCTCTCTCTCTCCCCCTTTATTTCTGTGTTTATGGCTCATGCAAGAAAGAATAAGGTCCCTCTTTTGCTACAGCCTGGGACCTTACTACTCTGCTGACATTGCTTTGTTTTCCGTCATGTTACACTGGTCTAAACTAGAAATGCTGCACGACCTACAAGTGTGCAAGGAGAAATTCCTCGAGCATCTCAATGACAGTGTGCCCTACCCCAAAATTCTTTGTTATCACAGAATCCAAGAATAGCAGGGATTGGAAAGGGTCTCTGGGGATCATTGAGTCCATCTCTCTGCTAAAGCAGGTTCCCTAGACTACACTGCACAGGAAAGTGTTAAGAAGGATCTTGAACATCTCCTGAGAAAGAGACTTTCTTTTCCTGTGTGCTTTTTTTTTTGTGCTGTACCCAGTGTGAGTTCCACACTTGCTATGTGTATAATCAAAGAATTTTAGGATGTTATAATCACAAAATAAACAAGAGAGTTAGGCAAAGCAGACTATGATAACAAAAGAGAATAAATAGAAAACTTACCCCTATCCTGGGCTCACTCACAAAACACCAGCAGAGCAGATCTCCAGAAGAGATCCTTCCCCACTGGCAGCCAGCTCTTCAATAGGTCTAGGAGGGGTGCAGCCAGGCTCCACCCCTTCCTGCAGCACAGGTGAATTGCCTTCAGCTGTGCTCCATAACTGACTCATGGCTCACCTCAGGCGATCCATCAGAGGTTCAGGCTGTGACTCAGCACTTCCCATACACTATGAAACAACAATAAAGACCATTTTCAGGTAGAAGAACAAGTATCCTAAAGATGGGAAAACAACCATCCTGCATCAGCTACGGTTGCTCATATCTGGTAATGAAGGTACGACAAACACTCTTCTGGTAGCAGAAGCCCTGTATAACTCCTAGGTGAGTTGGATGCTGCCAGCAGAGCTATTCCTCAGCACCTCGTACTGAAACCGGGCCTTTTGCCCATGGACTGCCTTCAACAAACTACTAAAGACTTACCCACAGTCTTATTAACTACTGTTATCCAAGCTATTACCTGGCCCATCTCTACACATCTTTCCCCTCCCCAAGATGCAGGGAGGAGGTGGCTCTATTTCTTTTGCTGTGGTTAATGAGGAAGAACCTGAGCTATCCCCAGCTTCCCAGTCATGAATTAAGAGAAATGGCTGTCCAGTTTTTTCCTCCATAAAGGATGCACTTAAGCAATTTTTGGTACATTTTCTTTCTGTTTTTGATGAGAAAAAATAGCGTTCTCATTCTTCCATTAGAAACTATTATATAGCAGCTACTATATTTATAGACAGTAAAAGCAAGCACACCAGTTAACATTTTGCTGGCCAAGTCTCCCACCGCAGGAACAACAATTTTAAAAATTAAGGGCCAAAAGTGAAGTCCTCTTTCAGCTCTTAGCACTTTGTTGACACTGGCAATAGAGTAATATTCTCAAGTCCTACTGCAGCTACCAAAGGAACATGCCATATCTTTAGCTTCTTTGCCCACAAGGTGCAGGCTGGAAAAGTGCCCTGCTCAGCTCCTCTGTGACGTGCCTACTTGGTGACACAGCACTGATGCCTCACTCCGAATGCCTCTAAACCCCAGGTGGGTACCGATCTATTTTCTTCCCTCCTTCTCTGCTCAGAGCTCTTTATATTCCTTGTTTTTCTCCCTTCCCTTTTGTTAATTTATTATATGAGGGCAGCAGCACATGACAGATTAAAATCATGAAAGCAAGGCTCATTAGGATTCTATGTCCTTTGAGTGGTATGTAGAAAAAAAATTCTGTGTGAAATGTCATGAAAGTAGATTTTGAGGTTTTGACAGATGTGAGAAAAGGAGAAATGTTTGCCATTTGTCTTAATGACACTTTAGTACATTTGGAGAGCCAAGGGGAAGAAAAAAGAAATGCCAAAAAAAACCCACCCAGCAACAATTCGGGAGGTATGTGAGCTGCTTCCAAAAGCAAGGTTGGGCTGAGAGCATACCCACAGGATACCAGGGAGCCTGTTCCTTTGCACAGACTGCAGAAAGGGGACAGCAAATGGGGAGAAATATTTGACAATGTCAACTCTGAATGCCTTGAGCTCTGGCTAAGCTGGCTTGCATGTTTCCCCCTTCCCCAGCAGGAATTGCAGCAGTTGGGGATCCTTGAGCACATCCACCAGTATGAACAGAAACAAGCAAATCTTTCAGGAATGTAAGGGAAAGCATTTGCATGTAATTACTAACCCAGTTAAGACAGCTATTTTCAATGTCACATCTGGACAAAATACCTGTTGGGTAAAATCCCATCCTACAGCAGTCAGATGCCAAGTTGCCAACAACCTGAAATTGTCTGATGGAGTTTTAAGTTTCATTCATGTGAGAAAGCAGGAGTCATGACTCACCAATTTCCTCTGACTCCTGAGTCTAGGAGATAATATAACAGGAAAATGAACCCAGGAAAAGGCCTTGGTGAATAACCGGTATCTATGGCCAGTAGGTGCCAACACCGAATCATAACGTTTCAGCCATTCTTTGCCCCATTGAAGAGAAGCCTAGGTGGGAAAGGACACAGCATCAAACAGAGGAAACTGAGGAGCAGTGTGGCACACTGCTAGAGCTGTCGGGGAGGGGGCTGAAGAGGGAAGGACTCATTTTTCCACATGCCAGAAGTTGTATGTAACCTTGCTTTCATGATTCAGTGAGTAGGGAGTCAAAACTGCTAGGAGTAAACAATGCAATGGCAGAGCAGCATACTGATTTGAGTTAGAAATGAGAAATGCACAATGCCGTATTGCGAGGGATATTTCTGGGAGAGCTATTCACAGCTAAGAATTGATTTGTTGAATTTACCTTTTTTCCTGTATGTGCATTGTCCTGAAAGAGATCACAATTCTCATGAATGTGTCCAGCTCTCCAAATTATCTGATGAGCAACGCAAACACATTCCAGGCTGAACTGCTGGTAGGCTGCTCGCTGTGATTGCTGCTTGGAATAGCTGGTGTTAAGAGCAGAGCTGCTGCTCTGTGGGCAGGAAGCTCAGCTGGTTTGTCAGCTGGCCCCATGGATCAGCAGGGCTTGTTCACTGCATTCACACCGTGAGCTCATTGCTGGCACTGTCCAGTCTGTCCCTCATTTATCCACAGCAGTTTGACTTTCCAGATCTTGATCTCCAGGGGCTGAATTGCACCCAAAACCCATTTGTGGCCAGGGCCACTGGAGCAGCCAGATGCTGGAATAGTTATTAATAATAATAAAAAAGCAGCTCCTTTGTGTTTTTGTTTTGCTATGAAGACAACACCACACAAAGCTGATGTGAAGTCTGCGTAATTAATGCCACGCTGACTCTCTTGCTATATGGGAAGGGAGGAAAAGCGAGGTGTGGGCTACCCTGCTTTCTCCAACCCTCCAAGGTTGCCCAACTCTGCCCAGATCCTCTCACATCACTTTGCTAAGCATTTGCTGCGGATGACTGTTTGCAAGGGGTTGGAGGCTGCAGGGATTGGATGCTGCAGGTGAAGCCATTCTGGTGAAGCTCTGCAAGCAGGGCAGGTTCCTTAAGGGAAGCCATGGTTAAATTGCAGTGACCGCAGAGCGAATTTGGGAAGCCATTACATGTATTGACGTCTTCCTCTCTATTTTGCTAATTTCCTCACAGATCTCCCATCAATTTTTTCAACTTTGGTAGATAAAGGTGACCTAAATATCTCAATTTTTTTTTTTCCTCCTTCAGCACTTAAATCTATGTTTTTATTTTACCATACACCTCATAGCTGTTATTCTGCAAACCCTCATATGGCAGATGAGCATGCCCAGGCCCCTGCGAGAGGCAAGCCCTTTCCATTTCCAGCAGCTCTGTATCTGCTAATCCATCTTGCAGCCTGCTACCATTACAGCTTGCTTTCACCTCTCACATTTCCCATTTTAAAGAAAACCACATTGCTGGGAAGCATGTTTGTTCCCAACCTGCAGCAGAACCTGGGCCTACAGCAGCCTTTTGCTGCAGGAAAAGAGCTTTTCTTTTCCTCAGCATTACTGCAAGAAAAATACGCAGTGTTAAAAGCAAAATGACTGGGAAGGTTTTTTCCTTGTACCCTGTGAATGATACTGAATTCTGTCTGTCTGTGGGTGCAGCGATGTGAAAAATGGAAAACCTGCACTGCCTGACCCCATGGGCCCCCCTTTACATCTGCAGAACCAAACACAGCGCTCCAGGAAATGTGAGCATGAGCTGTTTGGATTGGAAGGGGGAAAAAAAACAAACCACAAACACATATTCTTAATTTTCTACTGCTGTAATTTAAGATAAGTCCTTGGGCTGGAGCATTGGAGAGAAATAGGGGATGTGCTTGGTGCCAGAACCTCCCTGCCATGACAGCCAAAGGGGCACGGGCCAGAGGATGCCCAGTGGTACAGTTTTGGGAGGCTGGCATCCCACCCCCTGGGCTCTGCCACCCCATGCTCCTGCACAGCAAGCTGCTCACTGCACAGCTCTGCCGGCTTCCTTGGTTTAATCAGGCTCTGCCTCCAAATATTAACGGCATAAATAAAGTTATGGACTGTGAAGCACTTCGAGAGGTCAGCTGGCCCGTTTCCTTGATTTAAGGTCGCATTAGTCACAGTATATCACTCCTGCCGAAGAGAGATGCAGTCTGCTCTTAGAGATCCTCAGCAGTCGAGGTCTGACAGCCTCCATGCATGGGCTGTCGCCTCGCCACCATTATCATTACAAAGTCAATCCTTGGCACCTAACTGTATTCTTCCTTGCGGCGACTGAAGACCACAGTCCCTTCCCATGCACTGGCAGTGGAGGAGATTCCTCCAAGCTAACTGCCGGTGGCCTTTTATGTGTGTGAAGACCTGCACGTCCCCTCCATCCTCATCCCTCGAGGCCAAACACAAAGTGAGTCATTTCCTGGGGGCACATTTCTTTCTTTTCCCACTCCATGTGGATGGGAGCAAGCAAACCAAATCAGTGCAAGTGCAGAACTGGGGAGGAGGCTTGTGCCTGTGCAAAACTGCCTGAGAGAAACCCTAGTGTGCTACCTGGCATTTACACAGCCAGTTGTGCAACTATTTACCAAGCACAGTACATAAGGTTTTAACCATGGCAACCTCTGTATCATGCAGTCCACATGCACAGACAGCTGTGATAAATAAACAGGCGACAGATCCGAAATAGCAGCACACTATTGCTTTAATTGTTAGCCCACTGATCTTGTATCAGGTGTAAATAGAGCGCTTCTGGAGGAAAGAAACAGGAATCTTAATCAGCCCTCGTCAAAAAGGGCACCGTGCAAAGACCACGCAATAAAAGGTATGGCAAAAAAGAGCTTCCTTGCTGAATCAGCCCAAATGTGCAGAAAACAAAACAAACAAAAAAACTTGACTGATGTGACAGCCACCTGCTGCTACGTTTTCGCCGCTGTTCTTACTGTGCATATGTGCTGACATTAATGGTAATTATAACCTGCAAATATTGCTTTAATATCCAGGCTCTCATGCTGGGGTAGATGATCCCTAGATCCACACGTGATTTCCATCCCAGTGCTGGTAACATCTGCCAGGTGGTGCTGGACTCGGCACCTTGGTGGCAGGCTTGCAGACAGCAGCCTGTCACCATAACCCCCAAATCCATGTTCCCCTGGACATAACCCCATAACCCCAAATTCCATGCACTCAGTATGAGAGCACAGTGGCAGTGGGCTGCTAACTGGGAGCCCCCCTGGCTGAAATCCCTCTTGCATCATGTACAGGGTACAGCTGAGACCTCCAAGCCGGGTCCGTTCCAGCCCCAGGGACACATCTTCACACCAGAACCCCTTCAGCTGCTGGCTTGTAGGGCTTCACAAGATTTTCCTACCTGCTTCAGCCTTCCCCGCTCCATCTTTCCTCCCCACTGACTGACAGAGCGCTCCAAGTCTGAATTTTTGAAAGGTTACTTGAAAAATCCCGACACAGTAATTCCCTTTGAACATCC